AGTTGTCTTCCTACTTAAGAACAAGGATTATAATCAGATTTGTTCTTTTGTGTAACCAGGTTCTAGGATAGTGCCTGGCACTTAAGAGAGATTGAATACATCGTAGAATGAATGAACTTTGTGGAGCATTTTCATTATTAAAATACTACAGTTCTTAGAAAAAAATTCACAGAGTGGTTTTTTATCTAGTCATAGTGATACTCTGAAAGATGTCTCTCAGAATGCTTATGCTCTAGGTGCTAGTGGAAGAGACACAAGACCTATACTTGGGAAGTCGTAGGTGTTGTGATATTATATACCTAGTGTCCTGGTGTCACAATGTAGGGTTCTTAGGGTAGGTCTCACCTCATCTAGTTGATCATGTGTAAACGTAGACCTAAGTTCTTCAAGTTACTAATTAAACTGATATATATCACCTCAAGTAGCACAGTGCCTAGTAATAGTAATTGCTCAAATGCTAATTGATAATGTTTTAAAAACTGCTGCAACATTCCATGGGTCAGGTGTGGTGGCTCACACCTGTAATCCTACCACTCTGGGAAGCTGAGGCAGGAGGATCACTTGAGCTCAGGAGTTCCAGACCAGCCTGAGCAAGAGTGAGACCCCCATCCCTACTAAAAATAGAAAAACTTGACTTGGTGTCCGTAGCTTGGTGGTTAGGGTCCTGGCCACATACACTGGGGCTGGCGAGTTCAGACCCAGCCCAGGCCTGCTAAACGACAATGACAACTGCAACAAAAAAATAACTGGGTGTTGTGACAGGCACCTGTAGTCCCAGCTACTTAGGAGACTGAGGCAAGAGAATGGCTTAAGCCCAAGAGTTTGAGATTGCTGTGAGCTATGATGCCACATGTAGTCTATTTTGCTACCGAGGGCAAGATAGACTCTGTCTGAAAAAAAAAAAAAAAAAAGGAAAAAAATAGAAAAATCACCCAGGCATTATGCTAGGTGCCTGTAGTCCCAGCTTCTTGGGAGGCTGAGGCAAGAGGATCACTTACGCTTAAGAGTCTGAGGTTGCTGTGAGCTAGGCTGAGGCCACAGAACTCAAGCCTGGGCAACAAAGTGAGACTCTGTTTCAAAGTAAATAAAAACTGCAACATTTCATAAAGTGATGTAAGAGAAGCTTCTGATTCAGAGGCTTGGATAGATGATTTAAGGGTTGAGCCTAGAAGTTGTTGGATAATAATTATGAATAAAAGTTACTTCAAGAGCCAGTTTTCAATATAGCAACAGATTCCCCCACTCTCCCTACAGTTGCAGAAATTTAGGGAAAAATTCTGAAGGCCATCATGTGACTGATGATTTATTAGGTATTATCCTAGTGTTTCTTTAACCTAAGTTGTATATAATTCTAACTAACTGGGCCTGGAAAGGTGATTTTCCCAAGAGCCTAGCTATTTCTGAAAGATGTAAATAATAGTGTTGGGCAGTGGGGAATAGGAAGGAGAAAGTAAGCAAGGTTACTTTTTTAATATTGGAAAAGCAGACCCATGACACGTAATTCTACATTTACAGGTAGATTCTGAAGAACCGGTCTTTGAGGCTGTCATCAACTGGGTGAAGCATGCCAAGAAGGAGCGAGAAGAATCCTTACCTGACCTGCTACAGTATGTGCGGATGCCCCTGCTGACGCCCAGGTATATCACAGATGTGATAGATGCTGAGGTAAGTCAGGCAAGACACTCAGGATCCAAAACTTTGACTAGCTCTTGTAGCTTAGTATCATATATTTAGAATTCATTATTTTAATATAGACACAGAGTCTTCTGGTTTACCTCTTTAGGAATACCAGAAATGGTACTGAGAAGTTCCGAGGCTTTTTTTTTTTTTTGGACACAGGGTCTCACTCTCTTGCCAGGGATGGAGTACAGTGGTGTCATCATACCTCACTGCAACCTCAAACTCCTGGGCTGAAGCTATCTTCTGCCTCAGACTCTTGGGTAGCTGGGACTATAGACACAAACCACTGTGCCTAGCTAGTTTTTCTATTTTTAGTAGAGACAGAATCTTCTTGCTCGGATTGGTCTCAAACCCCTTAGCTCTGGCAGTCCTCCTAACTGGCCTGACTAAAATGGTAGGATTATAGAAGTGAACTTCCACACTTGGCCCCCAGGCATTTTTCTTTCTTTCTTTTTTTTTTTTTTTTTTTTGAGATGAAATCTCACTTTGTCACCCTTGGTAGAGTGCTATGGGGTCATAGCTCACAGCAACCTCAAACTCCTGGGCTTAAACAATTCTTTTGCCTCAGCCTCCCAAGTAGCTGGGACTACAAGGCACCCACCACTTAGCTTTTTTTCAAGACAAGTCTCACTCTGGCTGAGGCTGGTCTCAAACCTGTGAGCTCAGGCAGTCCACTCGACTTGGCCTCCTAGAGTGCTAGGATTACAGGTGTGAGCCACCACACCCAACCTCCCAGGTATATTTCTAAGAAAAGTAAATTAATTGCTTGGCAAGTCAGGCTCCTGATACAAATGAAAATCTTTGGTTTCATTTAATTTTGTGTTTTATTGTCCTTTTTTTTTTGGAGACAGTCTCACTATGTCACCCTTGGTAGAGTGCTATAGCGTAACAGCTCACAGCAACCTCAAACTCTTGGACATAAACGATTCTCTTGCCTCAGCCTCCCAAGAGCTGGGACTATAGTTGCCCACCACAACACCTGACTATTTTTTGTTGCAGTTGTCATTGTTGTCTAGCTGACCCAGGCCGGTTTAAACCCGTCAGGCTCGATGTATGTGGCTGGCACTATAACCACTGTGCTATGGGCACCGAGCCTTTTTTTTTTGGAGACAGAGTCTTACTTTGACACCTTTGGTAGAGTGCTGTGGCATCATAGCTCACAGCAACCTCAAATCCTTGGGTTTAAGAAATCCTCTTGCTTCAGCCTCCTGAGTAGCTGGACTATAGGCAACTGCCACAATGCCCAACTGCTTTTAGAGATGGGGTCTTCCTCTTGCTCAGGCTGGTCTCAAACTCCTGAGTTCACACAATCCACCCACCTCAGCCTCCCAGAGTGCCAGGATTACAGGAGTGAGCCACTGTGCTTGGCTGTTTTGTTGTCTTTTGATTTTACGTACCCCTAAATGTTTTATATAAATATTAACTTTGTCCTCTTCTCCTTTAAACATAAATTGTTCAAGCTTGCATCTTTATTTTTGATCTCTGGTGAAGCCAGCATGAAAGGTGCTTGATGCATTTTATTGTCAGCTTTGGTCATATTATGTTGCGCTTATTTATAAAAGTGTTTCTTAGACTTAGTTTTTTTCTAGTACCTCTTTATAATTTCATAATTTTTATCATATATACCACCTATGTTATCTGTACTGTGCCTTACAGGAATGATGGCACATTACCTACCTATAACATGTAGGTAAGGCCCAGGTCAGTGAATGAGTTCCTCCTGCTGTCCCAGCCCTAGATCTCTTTGGGAATTAACTACAAACACAGTTTTTCAGTTGTTTACATTAGAAAAGTTGCAGGCTGGTTAGTGTCACATCTCAAACTTTTTCTTCTATTTGTAATTTCTTTCTTACAACCCCTCTGCATACTGCTTGTGTCTAGTTGTTTATAGTTTGGTTAAGAGCATAGACTCTAGACCAGGTATGGTGGTTCACACCTTGGGAGGCCAAGGCAGGGTAGATTGCCTGAGCTCACAGGTTCAAGATCAGCCTGAGCGGGCTCGGTGCCTATGGCTCAAGTGGCTAAGATGCCAGCCACATACACTGAAGGTGGCGGGTTCAAATCCAGCCTGGGCTTGCCAAAAACAACAATGACAGCTGCAACCAAAATATAGCCAGGTATTATGGTGGGCGCCTGTGGTCCCA